GTGGATGGATGGATGGATGGGTGGATGGATGGATGGATGGTGGATGGATGGTGGATGGATGGATGGATGGATGGATGGATGGATGGATGGATGGATGGATGGATGGATGGATGGGTGGATGGATGGATGGATGGATGGGTGGATGGATGGATGGATGGATGGATGGATGGGTGGATGGATGGATGGATGGATGGATGGGTGGATGGATGGATGGATGGGTGGATGGATGGATGGATGGATGGATGGATGGGTGGGTGGATGGATGGATGGATGGATGGATGGATGGATGGGTGGGTGGATGGATGGATGGATGGGTGGATGGGTGGATGGATGGATGGATGGGTGGGTGGATGGGTGGATGGATGGATGGATGGGTGGATGGATGGATGGATGGATGGGTGGATGGGTGGATGGGTGGATGGATGGATGGATGGATGGATGGGTGGATGGATGGATGGATGGGTGGATGGATGGATCGATGACAGGTGCTCAGGAAAGACGCTGAGCCCTGGAGCCTCGCTGGCCTGGCCGGAATGCTGGCTCTGTACTTTCCCTGGGTCACGGGGCAGCGGACCCCACTGGCCCCCACCATCCCACCGAGGAGAGCATGAGCACTGCCATGGGGGCCCCCCACCACCCTCACGTGCTCAGCACCGACGAGGCTCAAGCCCCACGACCCCCCGAGCCCACACCCCCCAGGGGATCCAGCTCCTGGATGAGTTAGGATTTGTGTAGGGCCTGTCTCCCTCACAGTCTGTGAGCCCCGTAAGGCAAGGGCGTGTTGGATGTGTCTCTGGCTCCCAGGGCTGAGCCCAGTGACGACGGCAGCGACCGTGACAGCGCCAGCTGCCAGTATGTACGCCCACCCTTCGACAGGCGCTGTGCTCTGCACCCCCAGTCACTCTGTAAGTCCTCGCACGCGGCCCCCAAGGCTGGCCGCCTGCGTCGCCGTTCATCCTGATTCTCGGTTGAGGAAAGTGTCAGGCTGGGCAGCCGCCCCTGCTGGAGCCTTCACTGTGCTTGGCACTTTGTATGCATTGTGTCGGAGAGCAAGAGTCACTCACGTTCGCCCAGCCGCGAAGTGGCAGACCCGTGACGCCCACACTTCGCCGGGCCCTGCCCTGGCAGCCCGGTTACCCACCTGTGCCTCCAAGGCCAACACAGGAGGCCAATCCTGTGGGTCTGACCTTGACTGTCGCCAGCACGGAACTTGCCGCTGCCTTCCTAGGCTCTCGCCGTGGCGTTGCAGGCCCCGCGCTTCGGCCTGTCTTGTCTAGCCTCTCCCTCCCCTCCTCTTGTTCTCTAAACGGTAAAAACTGGACTGACGGGCTCCCCCAGTGCACCATGCTGCTTCCGTCCTCTGCGCCTTTGCCCTGGCTGTTCCCTCTGCAGGAAATGGCCCCCCCTTATCCATGCCCGACTAGCACACTCCAAGCCCACCCTCAGCGTCTCCCCGAGAAGGGGAATCTGCCTTGACCGACGCCGGTTGACACCTACCCCCACACATCTGTCTGCCCCACCAGGCAGGGCGCCGAGCCCAGAGCCCATGCACACCGCCCCTCAAGCCCGGGGCACCCTGAGCCCTGCGCCCCCGAACACTCCATAAGTGTCTGCCCGGTGAAGGCTCCGTTCTTCGCTCCACCTCAGGCGAAGACCCTCGGAAGCCCTGGGCAGCTGCCGGGCCAGTGCCAACATCTCGTATGACACATTTCTGAGAGATGTTTGTTCTCTGACTGTGAATTCCATCTGCTCTTTTAATTAATGAAAATTCATTTCTATGCAAATGTGTCTTCCAGGATCATCCTTCATGAGCAACCTTTGGGAGCTGACTCACCAGCCTGTTCCCTGAATCCGTGTTTGGAACAATTGGGAACTTTTATTGGGCCTTTAAACAGAACAGCTCAAGTGAACGAAGTCAGAGAACCTGCCAGGTGACATCATGGGGAACTTTCAGCCCTGGGACACGCAGGATTTGACGGGTTTGACTTTATGGCGGAAGCCCGCCCTCCGGCAGGGTGTCCCCCAGTCCTCAGAATTGGGGCTCCTCCTCCCATGCCCTCTGGAGCGACCCGGTCACTGACTGGGCTTTCTGTGTCTCAGCGCTGGAAACTGCCCCCATCCACGATCCCGGCCACGCCTCCCTCCAGAGGCTGGAGAGACCGACTGTCGTGAGGTTCCCGCGATGCCGCAGGTTCCAGCTCGTCACTCCACCACCTCACTGTTCCCAGACAGAGGACACCGCCACAGCCCGCCCCGCTGCGTGGCCCAGACGCCTGGGAGGCAGCTTGACACGTCCACTGTCCCATCCCCCTGCCCTTCTCATCTCTCTTGAACCTGAAGTCCGTGGCCTCTCTGGGCGGACCTGCCCCAGCTCTGGATCCTTCCGGAAAGGGACTCCAGAAAGACCGTCAGCTAAAGCCTGACTGGGCTCCCAAGGGGACCGTGCGAAGTGAGAGGACCCCCTCGGGGGTGTACCTCTGGTGTTCACACGGACCTGGGTCTGCATATCCCTGCCGACGTCACCCTGCGCAAGTCACGCAGCTTCTCTCAGCCATCTTCTCAACCCTGAGGTGGGAATAAACGATCGTGCCTGCTTCACGGTTGTGAGGGCAACGTACGGTCACGGATGGCAAGCACTTCACGCAGTGCCTGCCCGGCACCGTAAATGCTAAAAAGTCCTATTTTTACCAACGCTTATTGCCAAACTTCATTTGCTGGGCGTATTTAGTAAGTTAACGATGAATGACTCGGCGCTGAATTCAGGGGCGGTGACGACATAGTGTTCGAACCCCGGCACATCCCCATGAAAGACCGACAGAGCAGACAAACAGCCACACCAAGGATCATGGGCGACATGCACGGCAGAACGAAGTCGCCCTCACAAACCCCAAAAGGTAGGTGGGCAGGAATGAACTGGCAACGGGGACAAGCCCTGCACGGTGACTCCTGTGCAGAAGGGAACCAGGGAGAAGCGAGGCAGCGTGCGGCGAACCAGAGAACAGAGAATCCAAATGCTCCCGGCCACGGGGGAGCACAGCTGGCCGGCACACCAGAGGGCCCTGGCCAGCCCGGCCCCAGGCAAGGGAAGGGGCCTTGGCGCGTCCTGCACCAGTGGGGCAGCCGGGACACAAACCCCGCTCGTCGGTGCGGCCAGAGCTCCCTGCCCGCACAGAGCCCTGGAGACACCGTCGGGGCGGAATCGTAACCGAGCAGACAGGGGCCTACAGACCCAAGAAGGGCAAGCAGGTCCAGATCGAAGTGGGCAAGGGAGCCGGGCCGGGAAGTCCCAGCTAGTGGGTTCTGCCTTGGGTTCTGACATCACAAACACCACAGACGGGGTTGGTCCTTGAGTTAGAAAAGCTGCCCTAAGGCCCACTGTCTCCTGAAAGTTCGGGAAAAACAGTCTCACAGGAAAAAGAGCAACAGAGAATAGCCAAGTCAAAACCCATGCAACTTTGTTATGAGACAGAGGAGAACCAAGAGCAGAGTAACACGTTACAATGAAAACACCAGAATGATGTACTAATAAAAAAAAGACCAAAACGGAAACCAACTATTTCAAAGAGTTAAATGACAGTGTGGTGAAGTGGTTCATTACTGGTTCCCCAATGAATCAATGAATCAGGCCACGCAGTAGACAGGCCTGTGCAGTCCCTCCCGCAGGGTCCCTGGTCTTGGTCACATGACTTGCTCTGGCCAACTGGACATCGGGAAATGTGAGACAAGCAGAGACTTGATAAGCATGTGGGAATTGGGTTCCCCTTCTTCAGACTACTGCCACCATGCACGCAAGCCCACCCTCATCCCCTCGATGACAGAAGGCCACAGAGAGAGAGAGAGAGAGGCCTGTTCATCTCAGCTGTGCTTGCTGAGCCCCGCCCCCCATGGACCCCCTGGCTGAATGAGTGAGCCCCGCCAAAAACAGAACCAGCAGAACCATCCAACCACATGGCAGAATTGTGAGAAGTAATACACTGCTATTGTTCTAAGCTACTAAGTTTATTTTTAAAGATTTTATTTATTCATTTTTAGAGAGAGGGGAAAGGAGGGAGAAAGAGAGGGCTAGAAACGTCAATGCAAGACAGAAACATGAGTCAGTTGCCTCTCATATATGCCCCAACCAGGAGCCAAACCCTCAACACAATCAAACAGGCGGCCTTTTGCTTTGTGGGATGATGCCCAGCCAGCTGAGTCACACTGATCAGGGCCTGAGCTGTTAAGTTTTGTCATGGTTTGTTACTCAGCAATCAGGAATTAATATAGACTTCAAGAATTAAGAACTAATAAAGATATTAGTAAAATTATACAAGACATAAAAGAACAACATAAATTAGAATTTAAAAACTCAGAAATCAGGCACAAGAACTCAGGAAAAATATTAGAAATAAAGGGAAATCACTTCAGTGATAATTACTTCACTAGAAAGCACAGAAAGTAAATAAAGACAACAGAGAAAGCTTTAAAGGAAAGAAGAAAAATGAGGAGAATGTAAACAAATGAGGGAGGAGATAAAAAGAATTTTAAAATGACAAATATTGAAGGCTGGCAAAGAAGACCCAACATGCAGATAATGGGTGTCCTTAGAGAAAACGAAAGGAGACAGAATGTTGACTACAAAGAACACTTCTGTCAAAAGTCAAGAAGAAAAACCAACCCAAAACTACACATTGCACACCTAAGCATATAGACCTAAGTGACCAACATGAAAGTTATATTCTGGCAACAGTACTGGACTTTGATCAAAAAGGAAAGAAGGGTGTGTTCATTTGTTTGCTTTTCCCTAAGCCTGAGCCCAGCCTGCTGACCGGGTAGGAGTCCTAAGAAGATAAGAGGAGAGGGTGTTTCTGACAGGAAGACAGCTTGGGGAAAGCCCGAAGGTGTTGGGGGGCACAGCGCACAGTGGGGACGGCGGTGATGGAAAGTGGGTGAAGCAGGGGACATACACGGAGGCCTCAGCCCCGGGCAGCGCACACCCCGAAGGGCCCTGTAGGAACACTCACCCATGTAGGGCTTGGTCCCGGCCATGGAAGAAGCCTTTTCAGGTCCTTTCACGACAGTCGCGATGTTGAAGTCTGTGATGTGGACATGCCCTGAGACAGAGAAACAGAGGCCCCGGTTAGCAAGAGCTGCAGGTGGCGGGGCTGTTCCCGTGTGACGTGAAGCTGTTGTCTGCAAGGTGCAGTGCAGGGAGACCCTATGAGAGCGTCCACTTCCATTTGCACTTCATCTGATACTTTGAAAATGTCTTTCTTTTTTTGCAGCATTATTCACAGTAGCCAAGATACGGAAACAACCTAACAACCTAAGTGTCTGTCAACAGACAAATGGATAAAGAATGTGGTGTGTCCACACAGCGAAGTATCGTTCAGCCACAAGAAAGGGCATCTGCCTTTTGTGACAATGTGGGCGAACCTTGAGGACGTTATGCTAAGTGCAGCACGTCAGACAGAAAGACAAACGCATACTGCGGGCTAGCACTTACATGTGGGGTCTGAAAAAGTCGAACTCATAGAAACAGAGAGTAGAAAGAGGTTGCCGGGGGCTGGGGGCGGGGACAGAGGGAGAGGCTGGTGAAGGGCCCGAACTCTCAGCTGCAAGGCAGATAAGGCCCGAGGGTCTAAGGGAGAACACGGAGACTATAGCTGAGGACCCTGCTGCATAACTGGAACTTGCTAAGAGTAGAACTTGAATGTTTATACCTATGTCTATTGTATGTGCAAGTTTTACAGTACAATGTTTTTGGTGGCTCATGCATACTACCTATACATAAATAAACCTATTTATACTGAGGTCATGATGAGAGCCATTGTGGCTTAAAAGTGTAGAGGTGCTGACCCAGAGAGGGAAAGCGACTGATAGGTAAGACAGGTCCATCCAGGCTCCGGGTCAGGGAAACCGTGCGTGACCATGGCTGGGCCAGGGCACAGAAAAGAGTCTCATGCCCAGTCCTGTCCCCGGCGTCTCTGCTGCGGTCTGTGGCAGCCTCAGGGCTACACCTGACCAACTTAGCGGGGAGGGGACTGGGGGCTGAGACCCTCTCCCGTCCAGCCTAATGGGACAGGACTAGGCTGGGTGCTCCCACCAATAGGTGCTCCGGACACCTGCAAGGGAAGGGGGAGGGAAGGGAAGAGGGCTGGAGACAAGGAGATGCGGGGAAAGGGGAGCAGAGAAGGAGGGAAGGAGAGGGAGGGGAGAAATCCTGAAGGGGCGGTCCTCGCTCTCCCTGGAATCTGGAGCATAAAACGCCCCGCTCGGAGACCCTCGAACCCTGGAGATAAATGCGCTCACATTGCTTCCTATTTGCGATCACACCCTCTGAACACGGCTGGTTGGATGCTCGTATCTGAGATGCGTTTGGGATGGTGGGACTCCCATACACAGGTGGATGCCATGCACAAAGCTGGCTTCGGGGGGACTGGGAGGGCACCTCCAAGCAGTGAGTCCTGTTGAGAGGCCCCCAGGAGAGGCGTGTCTGATGCTATCAGCCACGGTGGCCAGAAAAAGCGCCAGCGGGTCCACGGCCAAATCCCAGGTGTCAGCTCAGCTGCCAGCACAGACGCGTGAGGGGCCACGGTGCCAGGCACTGCATCCGGGGCCCTGGGTGTGACGGAGCCGTGAGGCTTGTGCTCAGGGATGACCGGCAGGCCATCCAGGCACGTGGGGCTGACGCTTGAGTCACCTGGCCAGGGCTCTGCTGGGAGCCCCTTCTGGCCAGACGCACCGTGTCCCACCCAGGCCGAGTCCCCAGCAGGTCTCCAGGCTGCTGCAGCCCCCCGGGGCTGGGATGACCGGCCCTGCTGTTCCCTCCACCCGCAGCCCCGCCAGCAGCGAGGCTGTGTGGGGTGCGGGCTGGGCGCACAGACCCTAAGCCAGGCGGCCTTGGTTTCGGTCTCTGGTTTATTGTGACAAGCTGTGTGACCCAGTGGGGGCAGGCGAGAACCAGGGAGGGGGTTTTCCAGGGATTTCAGGAAACGAAGCACCTTCTTTTTTTCAGGAGCTACTTAAAGCGATATCCTGTCTTTGTCCAACGTGACAGGACCCCCAGGACTGGAGAGGCCTTGCGCTGCCACAGAGGAAGGCGGCCCAGAGGCGAAGCCCGGCCGCGGGGAAGCCAGAGCCGCAAGGGCGGCGAGACCTGGGGCCAGAGCCCGACCGAGCCCCGCCCGGAGCTGCCTCCACTGGTCTGCGGCTCTGCTGGCTGAAAAGCAGCCTTTTCTGCCCAGGACAGCTCAGGCAGGGCCTTTGTTCCCTGCCACACACCGCTGGTGTCCCCATGGATACAGCCACCCACTCTGAGAGCTGGACAGAGCAGTTCACTCTGTCACCCTCTGATTCCCAGCCCGAGGAGTAGAGCTTATATTAATAAGTACCTTGCAGGGTAGTTTTAAGCATTAAACAGGGTGGTGAGGGGCAGAGAATGTGACATTTCAGCGAAGACAGGAAGAAGAGAGGCAGCAAGCCACTGGGCCGCTGGGGAGGAGGGTGGCGGCCATACGGGACCAGCCAGGGGCTCAGAGAGTGACGGGAAGGGCCGTGTGGAGGACAGTGCCATTTACGCCAAGGAAAAGGAGGAGAAACGTGCTCCGGCTCCCTTCGGAGCATCACGTTCGCTGCCGAGACTGGGTTGCAGGGCCAGGGCCTGCGCAGGGGGCTGATGCTGAGGGAGGGGGATGCGCCCCGTCTAGGCTGAGTCTCTGTGACTTTGGGCTGCGTGACTGGTCCCACGTGGGCGTCACATCTCAGGCGGGTCCTTGAAGCAATGTTGTTAAGAGGGTATGGTGCCCTCGCTGTACAGAACAGGGGCCTGAGCTTCCAGAGACCAGCGACCTCCTCAGGGTCACACGGCTGACGTGTGGAGAAGCTGCGCTTTGTCTCCAGGTCCCCCTCCCTGGGGCAGGGCGCTCTCTCTGCCGCACTCGGTCCCCTAGAGGAGACAGCCCTGCCCTGCTTCCTCCTGGCCTGGGGGCTGGGGCACTGGGGCACCTCTGAGGCAGACCGCTGGCTGGTGCCGCCCACAGTCACACGCACGGCAGGTGTGACAGACGGCAGAATTACGCTTCTTCTCTCTCGGGCACCGGGAGGAGCGGCCACTTCCCCGAGAGTTTCTTTAACGGTTGAGTAACACGTGGGGAAGTGGAAACGAGCCTTTACCAGGCGTCCTGTGAGTTCCTTCTGGGAGAACAGAGACCGACTACAAAACAGGCCAATACGAACGAGATTTTAGGCTACTCGTTTTGCAAAAATTGAAAACATTCAAAACTCAGAGAGAGAAGGAGCCCGGGGTATTGTGTGAGACCCAATAGTAGGAGTTTTAACGAATGTCACTCATCGCTAATCACACTCCCGGCCCTGCCGACGCATCCTGTGCTCCGCACGCTCCTCTCCTTCCTCCGGACGTGTGGCCGTCCGTCTTCCCTCCACGCCTCTGACGCCCTGGAATGCTCTTCTCACAGGGGGCAGAGTCTCCTGGGAACACCGGCCCCCACCCTGGCTGGTCTACAGGGTCCATGTCAGGCCTAAGCCAGAGGTCAGAGTGGTGCTGATGGAAAGGAAGATCTGGAACCCCTAGAGAGATGAAATCAGGGCTACAGGACCAGCCACCTCAGCTCCCCCCGCCCCCGTCCCCACTAATGGTGACCGCACTTCCGGGACGGACGTTGTATGATGTAACGCAAGCTGCCCGTCTTCCACTCAGGACCCCATGCGGGCACTCCCCCCAACCCCCACCCACTTGTCCTCACGGGGATCACAGAGAGCTTACTGCAGGGCAGCAGCAAAAGGCAAGAGAAATCACACCGAGCCCCCCGGCACAAGCTTGCCCAGCCTCCCCCGGCCGACGGCAGCGGGGCGGCCTGCCTCGAGGCACGCCCCTGCCCGGCGAGGGGCCAGCTGACCCTGATTTCCTCCGTTCCGTTTGACTTCGCCTCCTCCCACACCTTGGTCCACGGGTAGGAAAGCAGGGCCTTCCACGTCATCTGTGTGCTCCGGGCTCCCCTGTGCAGAGGGGAACAGCGGGGGATGCCCCGGTGGAAGAAACCAACGCCCTGGGGCTCCCTGAGCAACTCTGCTGAGATTTGGGGGGCTCCGTCCTCCTGTGCCCTCAACCAGCTTCAACACCGTAATTTCACAGAGCCTGCCCGGCATCTGTGCCCTATTTGATTCGATGTTACGTGGAAATCACCTCGTCCAAGGCATCTGAGAGAGAGCTCATCGATTCTCCTTTCTCTACGTCCCTGACTTAGGCTTCTGGGTTAATTAGTTACAGCAGCACGGCCACGGCCGCCTGACCCACGCACTTCCCCCGCACCCCGCGCTGGGCATGAAATTTTACGCCATCGTATTAATCACAATGACTAACATTTGTAGAGAATTTCTATAAGCACGATCCCCTCTCTGCAAGGACTCTTGCAAGGCACCGTGCCAGAGACTATTTTTTAACACTCAGCATCCTTTCTAATCCATTCTTTCCTACTTCCTGTATCGCAAGGGCCAGGAAAGAGGGGAACCACATTTCCTGACTCTCTTGCAACTCGGGCTCTGGGAGATTTAGATTCTGCGGATGAGATGCAGCCAGGAGGTTTGGGAGGTGGCAAGAAAGCAGAGGCTATTTTTGGGGGACACAGCCAGGGATGAGCAGGCTCGACGGATGGGGGTCTTTGCTGGGCAGGGCTTCTGTTATCACTGTCTCGTCTCTTTCCTCACAGTGAAAGAGGCCGAGGAAGTGACTGTTTAGTCCAGTGTCCCATACCCAGAATTCAAGCCCCGAGGAGGCTTGACCCCAAGGTCCGACTTCATTAAGTCGCTTTCTCTTGAGGACACTCAGGTCCAAACAAACAAGATGAACTGACTAAGGACAAGCCGCTGCCCAGTGACGGAGCTGCCTCCAGCCCCAGAAGTGGGACGGCAAGGCGGCTCCGTCCCCCGCGGGGTCCCTGTCACCTTCCCCAACTCATTCTAGGCGGTGAGGCTCCCCTCCACACAAACGTGCACCGTGAGGCCAGGGCCTGGCCATCCGTGGCTCCAGCCCGGCATCAAACGCCGCTCTGGGCACAGGGAGCCATCAGTGATGATTCTAAGGCAAAGCTGGGATTTGGACCCTTGTTTGCAAAAACACAGAAGCTTAAGGTGTGGCAAGGAAGGGTTTGACTTCAGTACATTTTTAACCCCTGTCCACCCTTCCTCTCTTCGCTGCCCCGGGGAGGCGGGCCGACTACGGGCAGGGTCTGTTTGGGATGACGCCGGCCTTGCTCAGCCCGGCTCTGCCCGAGCCGGTGGGCGGGCCCAGGGCAACCCCCCGCGCTCCAGCCCTCCGTCCCACCTTGGCAGCGCCTCACCCGCTGAGGGGGGGGGCCTCCTCTCCGGAGCCTTTTGGACTCACACACATTCAAGCTTTTATCAGCAATGAAGGGGACACTATGGCATCTGTCTGCCACTGCGTTGCCCTATTTTTTATTCGTTAGGACCTCACATGGGGAAGACAGGGCTGTGATGGGGGGACTTGTGCCTCTTGCCCCAGCTTGTAGACCGAAGTCCAGCCTCCAGTCCCAGCACCGCAGAAGGGGACCTTATCTGGACACGGCATTGCTGCCGATTAAACTAGTTAAGGTGACGTCCCACTGAGGTGTGGCGGGCCCCTCAGTCAGTACAACTGGCGTCGACCCAGAAAGGGGACGTGTGGGCACAGACACACGCGAGGAGAACGTGTGCGAGGCTGGACTCCCGCGGCCACAGGCCAGGGGCTGCCTGGCTCCGCGACCTCAGACCTTCAGCCTCCTGCTCTGTGAGGAGGAGGTCCTGCTGCTGGAGCCCCCGGGTTTATGGCACTTGGCGACAGCTGCCTTCGGGGTCTAGGGCAGGGGCTGTTGGTGGGGGCCCTCAGGTCACCCCAGAGCCAGGGGCCAGGCAACCAGGGCAGCCCCTGGGCCCCGGAGCCCCTGAAGCCGTGCGGCTGGCCAGGCCGGCGCCTGCTTGCCCTGCCTCACCGTCTCTTCCCTCAGGAAGCCCCGGAAGGGCGCCGGGCCGCCTGCGCCGGGCCTTCAGGACTCCTGGGCTCCCCCGCGACCCTGAGCTACGGTGGACGCGTCCTGCCCGGCGGCCTTCTCAACAGAGTCTCGTGCCACCCCCCGCCCCCATGCACACAAGGCCAAACCCAGAAGAGCTTTAAATGGCATCCCTACACTTCGTCCTTAAACTCTTGGAGTCCCACCAGGGATAATGACCCTCCACAGTCGGCTCCTCAGACTCAGCAGAAACACCTCCGCCCCTCACTGGCCGGGGCGGCCTCCCCCCGCCCCCCTTCTCAGCGGCTCCAACCCCTGCGGCCGAGGGTTCGGAACAAGAGCGGCCCGATTTGGCACTTCCTGGAGCCTCCCGCTCCTGGCACGGTGGCGATGGGCTACCCGTGTTTTCACCAGGGTGCCACCGCCGTTTTGGGGAGCACTCTTCACATTTATCAACCAATAAGACGGCGACAGATGGGGAGGCGGTTCTCTGAAGTGGGCCCAATGAATGAGAGCTCTAAACATGGTCTATTAATAGAAACTGGAAGTAGGGTGAGGTCAACAGATTGGAAGACATCTGCCATAGAAAAGATAGCTTGTTCCTCACTGTCCCCAGGAGGAGGGGCGCGCCAGCTGTTGGCGGGGAAACCTGGGGGTCATCACGAGGCAGAGGGAGGGGAACTGTGGGCAGGAGGCTCTCTGGTGGTTTCTGGGGCGGACGGCGAGGCAGGGTACGCAGGCGCCGGCCGGCTGGCCGGAAGACTCTCAGGGCTCTGGGGCACAGGGCTGTCTTGAGGGCCTGGCACCTGGCCCTGCGATCACTACGGCAGGGGACAGAGGCCCGAAGCGTGAATCAGTCAAGAATCACAGAATCACAGAAAATAGAGTTCTACACGTCACAGCGCCCAGCTGTGGAAAAAGTCAGGAAGGTGGCGGCGGGGTGCGGGGGCTTCATGGCCTCCTGAGGGTGGGGCTCTCTCACTGGCCCTCTGGAATGCCAGGCTCCCAAACGCTCTGTTGACCCCTCTCACGCTGCAGGATCCAACATGGATGCCCCTTCCTCCAGGAAGCCCTCCACCCTCCTCCCCCAGCCTTGCTGACTTTCTGTTGCTGCTCAGCCCAGCCCCGCCGGTCCCAGTGCGGACCCTGCTGGGTCAGAAGGGCCTCCGTATTCTTCTGTCACTCCCTCAGTCCCAGCTCCACCTCAGAGACACCGGGGAATTCAAAAACACCACCGCCCAGCCCGGGCCTCTGTGGGTGGAGCTTTGATCCATTTTACAGTTCTTGGGTCACGTACAGCCGTGGCTGACAACCGCCACCCTGGACCATGAAGTCCCTGACAGCAGGGGCTCTGTGTCCTCTGGTCACCTGGCCCAATGCCCCCAGGAATGAAGGGACACCTTCCTGGATACGGAAGAAGACAAAGCTGCACGTGAACACTGAACAAGGGCCCTCGGTGACCCCCAGGGCAACGTGCGAACGCTGCCCTCCCGTCTGCCTGCCGTCCCTTCACCCACATTTGGGAAGTGAGCCCCCACAGGAGGAAGAGCGGCCACTGTACCTACTGTGCCTACTGTACCCGTCGGGCCAGCGGCCCTTCCGTTTCCGCCGGCCTCTCCCAGACGACAGCTCGGAGGGCCACGCCCCTCCCCCTCCGGGTCGCCCCGCGGCCCCGTAACACGCAGTGTCCTCCCTCCGACTCTAGGACAGGTCCCGGGACTTGCTTTGCCCATGGGGACGGCAGCAACATGACTCAGGGGGCGGCTTTCCCTGCTCCGGCTTCTGCTGTGGCCACGCAGGGCCACGTGGCAGTGTCCTGCAAGAGGGGGGCCACGCGGAGCAGGGCGGAGTCCTCCAGTGAAGCAGCCGGGGCCGGTGCCCCAGGCGGCAGCCAGGCCACCCTCAGATGGCCACTGAGCACAGCCACCCCCCAGGGCTGCCTGGCCGGCCCCACCTGGCCGCCATCTTCGGAGCTTAACCCCACAGACCTGGGAGCTGGCGTGACGCTTCTCGTTCATGCCATCAAAGCCACAGGGCTACCCCTCACCCAGCCCCGTGGCCCCAACAGAAAGTGAGGGCAACCCTTGGCCTTCCGCCAGAGTTCAAGTCCATTCCCTGCGGCGCTTTGCCCTCGGCCCCAGGGCACCCCGGCTCTCCTCCTCCCGGCCCCGTCCTGTGACGCCATCTCCCTTCGACTCCCTCTCCCCCGAGGTTGGCCTCTTCCTGCTCTCGCGGCTCAGCCAAGAGACCCCAAATCTCCGAGCAGATTGCAGTGCCCTGGGGGAGACGAAGCGCAGCCCCGGGGCTCGGGGAGCCACGCGGAACTGGGGGCGCGGAGAAGCGTCTGTGAGAGCCGCGGCGTCTGTGTGAGCAGCCGATCCGGAACATTCTGAATACATTATTCACGTGTTTATTTAATTATGTTTATATTTTATTGTAAACACAGCCAACCGGCCTGCTCTCTGAGAAAACACTTAATGGGACTGGTGATCAAACTCCTGAAAGAGCAACGCACAGCTATAAGTTTTGCAAGCTGTTTTGTGATACAATTAACAAAACTGTAGCTAATCATACTGGTTTGTCTAGTTGAAATTTGCGAAGGGGCTAAACCTTAAATGTTCTCACCACACACCGTACAAACAAAGGTAACTATGTGAGGTGATGGGCATGTTCATTAGCTTGACTGCAGTGATCATTTCACAACATATACGTATCACGTTGCACACCTTCAAAAAGTCAGGTTGTACCACCTAAACAGATACAGTTTTTAATTCCCAATCATAACTCAGTGAAGCTGGAGAAAGGAAGGCAAAGACGGCTAAGGAAAAATGGAAAAGCTGATGGGCGTCTCTGGTCCCAGAGCAGGGGAGGGAGGACCTGTGTGTCTGAGAACTCCCTGAGCAGTAAGCCATTCAGTCCTTAGTAAGAAGTAGTGTGGTCAGTGCCCCGTCCCGGCGCCCAGCAGAGACACTTGATGAAACAGGAGCTTGGAGAAGAGGGAGGAGGGGCGGGTCCAGAGGCCCTCAGGGGTGCGGGCGGGGGATCCTGCAGAAGGCAGGTTGGGACCCTGTGCAAGCCACATGGGAGGTGGCAGAGGACGGGGAGCTCAGAGTGGAGGGCTCTGGGAGGAAAGTGAGAAAGGCCTGAGGTCAGAGGCTGAGGACACGGGTAGAAAGGGAGGGGGAGGGATGGACGGAGGCCTGGAGGTCGAGAACGAGGTAGTGCAGAGGAGGCTGGGTGTGACGCGCCGTGACTGGGCGGAGGGGACAGGGCGGGAACTCCAGCACCGGAAACGCCCAGTTACCCCACAGGCCCTCTTGAGTGTCTATCCTCAGAGAGGAAACGGCCGAATTATTCCTGTGATCTTCTCTTCCTGACTTAACTTTGCCTCTGGACATTTGCCCAGGGCCTGAGAGGCCTTTGTCCAAAAGTCCCCCTGTCATCGGGGCAGGCCCCTGAGGACCCGGCCCAGGGCCCGCCCTCCGGACCCCGGCTGCCCAGACAGCGCTGCCACGGGTCTGGCCGGCCGTCTGCACACCAGGACGCCCACAGCCGCGTCTGCAGACGTGAAACCTGCGGATACACTCACCTTGGCGAGACACGGACCAGAAATTCACCCCGATGTTCACCAGCAGTGAAACCCCAAAGTGGTTTCCTACGCAACCCTCAGGGCGACTCACCGGGGCGCCCCCCACCGCCCTCCCCACGCGGCACCCGGCGGGCGTACCGTGCTCGTCCAGGAGGATGTTGTCTGGCTTGATGTCTCTGTAACAGAAAAGAAAGAAGCTATAAACACGATTCCTGGAGCCACTGACAAGCCCACCACAAGGCAACGCTCGGGGACAGACGTCTGACGGCACCCGGCGAGCCTGCCTGTCTCCCCGGGCGCGAGGCCGCGGACGGAGCCGGGGGAATGACTGCGACCACGGAGCGCCTGTGTTCTTGCCTCCTTCTGTTTCCTGGGATTGTGAGGAGACTGTGTGAAAATTTTTTTTTTAGGCATAATATTTTTTTAAAGATTCTATTATCATTAATTTTTTTTTTAGAGAGGGGGTACGGAGGGAGGGAGAGAGGGAGAAAAACATCCATGTGTGGTTGTCCCTCAAGCACCCCCTACTGGGGACCTGGCCCACAAAACAGGCATGTGCTCTGACTGGGAATCGAACCGGCAGCCCTTTGGTTCACAGGCCGATGCTTGATCCACTGGGCCACACCAGCCAGGGCTTTTTTCGGAATATTCTTAACAATTCCTGGCCTCCCATCTCCCCGGAGTGACGGCCGCACTGAGCACATGGTCTCTGCCAGCAGGCGCGGACGCGTCCCCTTCTCTAGATGCTGTTTAACCCTCCCCCCTTGCGGGGACACAGCCTGCAGGCATCGCTGCCTCCTTTCTGTGGGCACGGGAACCGAGGCTCCAGGAGGGTCCGTGACGTGTCCAAGTCCAGACGGGCCGCGCCCCGCCCTCAGCCAGTGTTTCTGTGGTCTGCGAATGAGAAGGGCTTTCGCACCTTTACAGGGTTGTAAAAATAAAACAAAACCACCACTACACAGGTGCACGGAGCAGAAACGAAAAGGAACATACAACAGAGACTAACGTGGCCCTAACAGGGTAAGACAGTGAACCGCAGGCGGCACGTCGGGGCGGGAGCCCCGAGCCCCGCTGTGCATCGCCGCAGCAACGGCAGGGCCTGCCCTCTCCAGGTTGTGCTTGTTGCGGGGGGGCTCGCCTCTTCACCTCTGCACCCCGTCCCTAGCAGACGCTGTCAAAGAAAAACCAAAGCCGGGCGGCAATTAGCGCAGAAAAACAGACTGGACCCAGGACCGTTGAAATGGGGCGAAGATGCGTCCGTGTAGAACAGTTTCAATTCCACACATGACACGCACAAGCCCGGACTCATAGCCCTGGAGCACGTGGGGGTTGGGGGATGGAAAACAACTGAGAGGAAACGTCGGGGTGAGGGGGGTGCTGGCTCAGGCGACCCCCCAGGGCGTCTGCTGAGGGCGGCGAGGTGTCAGAGGTCGCCCGGGGTGAGGAGCCTGGGTGGGCGTGTACGGAGGGTGCGGGATTCTGAGCCACAGAGCAGGTCCTGGCCAGGACTGGGCGGTGCTGCGGAGGCCGGTGCAGAGGCCGCGGTCCAGGCCCAGCTGCAGCGGGACCCAGAGGGGCCCAGGTGGAGTTTGGGGCAGAGGGAAATCTTTGTCGATACACAGGGGACACAGGGGGAGAGGAACAGGGGATGATGTAAAAGGCTTCGAGGCACTCCGCTGACATCCTCAACCCCGATTCCTTATCACTGACATGCACACGCTCCCAACGCTTCAATATCAAACCACCGATGTAGACAAGCAAGCCCCGCGCACTCACTGCCTGTGAATGTCAAATCTTCTCAGCCTAATGACAGCTTCCTTCCACAGAAAAAGCGACTGCTCTTGGTTTATCAAATAGCGATTCTATCCGCAAACACATGGCGGCTATTTGTAACAACACGAGGCTACGTTTATGGCTTCAGATCGAAAGAAACACCCGGCCTATATATTTAAATGTTTGTTGTCAGCATCACTTTGGGAGCCCATGAATGTTGACGGGCATTAAGTAAATGGAACCCACAGCCAAGTTCGCAAACATCCGCGGTGAACCTGAAGTCTGATTATTCATGGAGTCCCCCTGGGGAGGGTGACCGTGGGAACTTACAAAATTAAAACAGGTAGAAGGCTCAGTCAGGTGCCTGCCTGTAGGTCAGACCGGCAAACACTGGCTCCTGCCCAGCTGTCTCCCAGCAAGGTGCCCAAGAAACGGTGAGAAAGAGAATAAGCTTGTCAAAAATGACAACACAGCAGCCAGCGTTACAGCACATCCCGTGAGGTGTTACTAGGACTGAGGTGACCCTGTTTGGGATGCAGGGATCACCAAGGCGGTCCCTGCATGAACCCAAAATGCCAATGACGATGAAAACGCCCCATCTCGGGGCTCTCTGCCGGCCCCTCTTCCCTCCCTCCCTTTGACCATCTGCCTCCCTTCTTGCCTCACTCCTGCCCCTTCCTTTCCTTCACCAACATTCCTCAAAGGCCCCCTCCGGGCGGGTCAGGCAGGCGGCCGACGTCGCGTGGCCCTGCACACAGTCCTTCGGGTCCGCCGGCTCAGGCCTGCGCCGCCCTGGGAGCAAGGCCTCCCTTTGCAGGCGAGGAGGCTACAGAAGCCAAGGCGGACACATCTGACCGTGGCATGCTTCCGGCCGAGGGAGCACGGCCAAGGGGCGAGCGTCATCCCCATTCCACAGTGACATTGTCGAAGGCTCGGTCTCACAGACGGGAGTGAGGCGGCCCCCCTCGCTGGCTTTGAAGACGTCGGCGATCATGTGTGAGTGGGCCACGTGGCAGAACCGCAGGTGCCTCTAGGACCTGGGTCCTGCAGCACAGGGACTGAATCCTGCCAACAACTGTCGGGGCCTGGGGGAGGTCCAGACAGGAACGCAGCCCGGAGGGGTGCAGGTGTGTGACACCTGGGCCAAGGGGCCAGCTAAGCTGTGTCCAGACTCCTGACCCAGGAAAACTATGAGAAAAGGCACGTGAGTTGTTTTAAGCTGCTAAGCTCCTGGTTATTCGTTATGCAACAACAGAAACCCGATACACTGCGTGATCTCGGAGAACGGCAACAGTAGCCCCTATGTGATTGTTGCTGGGAGCATGCGAGACGCCAAGAAGATGCCACTTAATAAAGGCTGGGGACAGCTCCCGGGGCGTGAGGAGTGCCGAAATAAATGACAAGCGACGGCGGGGTTACTGTCACTGCTCGCTACAAGGAGCTGGGGTGGACCCTTGAGCTTTGAGCAGAATGAGTTAGATGTCTTTCACAGGAGATGCACCGCTGACTCCCGCGAAGCCACCCGCGGGAGACAGAGGGCCCGAGCCCCCGGGATTTAATAACACCGTTCTGTGGCGAAGCGCCTTATCAGAGCCTTCGGGCTGGCTGGTTCCAGGGCCATTTCCTCCAGCCCCATTTTTCACATCGATCGTATCTCAGTCCGGCGCGTCATTCAGCCGCGCGTGGGCTCGCGTGTTCTGAAACGGCGCTCAAAGCGGGGCGTAGGAGGGAGAGGCCGCGATGGTGTTCTCTGGGGACAGGGCCATCACTCCCGAGCTGGGCACGGTGACACTTTGATGGAAAGGACGCGTCTGAGGCTACTATAAAACCTGGTTCTCGCTCTTGAATGATTCCGCAGCCCCCAAATAAAGCAAAGCATGAAATGTCAGCTCAGCTATTTTTAAAAACAGCACAGAAATGGCTCTGATCCAAACCGCCAGGGAAGGCCAGGGCCGGGGCGGGGGGGTGGGGGGACATTTCCGTATGCATCCCTTTGCAGGGGTTTCTGAGAGATCTGTGCCGACAGTCTCGTGCAGCAAGGACAAATAATTTATTGGGCAGAGAGGCACGTCTGTGAGATGGAAATCTGTGGATATTTTATCACCAGAGAAAGAACCATGCTGTGGCGTGCGTGGAGGTAGCGGGGAAGGCGGCAGGGAAGGCAGGGAAGGCAAGGCGCGGCGCCGCCGGGGGCCAATCCGGGCCTGCCTTTTGTCTGCCCTGTGGTGCCGCCCGCTGCCCGCCTGCAGCCTCGGTTCCCTCAGCTGTAAGCTGGATAATATTACATATGCTGCGTGTCAGGGTGAGGACTTGTTTGTTTCTATCATTTTATTTTGCTCGTTGTTAAAGCACCTAAACCCACATCCTAACCATTACGGGAACTGTGCTTTATCATGTTCCAGCACAAAGTCGAGGAGGCCAGCCCCCTGACCCAGGAGCTTCTGCAGCTCCCACTGCTCCCGGGGAATGGCGTTTAGGGCACGCAGGCAGGACCAGGGCCCGGGTAAGGATGGCCGGCTCTGAGGCGGGGGAAGGCCCTGCTGGGGTGCTGGCCGGGGGCTGGAGGGAGACCCGTTTGGAGCAGGGGCTTTATTTGATTCCAAAGCCAGCTTCAGGCTGCTGGTCGCAGGGGGGTTCTGGGGACCGTCTCCTGCCCTGGCGGAATCCCAGATGACTCCGTGTGATTTTGGTGAGGATTTATGGGAGCACCCAGCATGGCGCCAGGAACGTGGGAGGCCTGCCTTTCAGTAATGACAGAGCGGGGCAAGGCACTTCGGTGCGGAATCTGAGCTAACAGCACGGCACGGGGTGGGGAGGCGGGGTGGCCGGAGGGCGGCGTTCACTGGGGTGAGCTGGGGCGATTGACCCCGGCCACTCACCTCTGTCTTAGGCAGCTTGGATGGCGCCTCGCGCCCATCCGCCAATGAGCGGATGTGGGACAGAAAGCTAACGAACATGGTTCTCACATTTTGGAATCTCTCACCATATTGACGTGGACTGCTCTGGAACCTGGGTAACAACTATGAAAGTACATGTCACTGCTTCTTGTTACATGTGACTTCTTCCCTCTCTCTCCAGCTTCCTGAGAAGGCCTGGACCTTGTGGTGACCGCAGCCCCCAACACGGTGCCCGAATGTTAACAGGTAGCCTTTACTGAGTGCTCAGTACATGCTAGGCACAATCCTGAGCAGGTCACGGGAATTTAACATGTAGTGTGGTGACTTCTATCAGGTACTACGCCAGCACTTTGTCACCTTACTTATTCTGACACAGCTCTTGGAGGCAGGTATCGCTACTCCTATTTTATTGATGAAGAAGGAAGTGTTGCCAGAGGGTCAAAGGTCGCACATTAGCAGACAAGACCCACGCTCATGGCGTCTGGTCTCTAGGTCGGTGTTTTCTC